AGAAAATTACACGTCACGGACGATGAAGGTGTCTCGGTAACAACGTCTCTTTTACGGGCGAGGAGAATGAACGTTACTTTCCTTACTTCATGAGAGAGGTGTGCTTTCTTGTAAAATTAATAACGCTTTTATAGTGGTTATACATTGTTAAAGCGACGACCTATGAAATGTAATTTGATGAAATAATTACATGAACTGAAAATTATTTTTATGCCAAAATTAATAAAGTGTTACTGTTTTCTCAAAATACGCTTCAACCGGAAAAAGAAAAGTCTTGCTCCAAATGTACAATGAACCAGCGACTAGAATTTAATTAGGACTCGTTTCTTTGATCGCACCTGACGTGGTAAGCGAGAGTTACAACAGCGCATCATTTTCATGCTACATCATGTAAAGCGCTACCAAGTGAAAGTACATGCATTGAATTTATTCTAGAACTCGTTCACTTCTATGTCAGTATTACGATAGTGATCCCGCCCTTGGCAGTAAGCCAGGTATTACAAAAAAGAGGGTCGAAGGTGTTGAAAAGTGAACATGTTTGTAATAAATAAGAGAAACGCATAAACGTATGACATATTTCACAAGTGCAAATTTTTACGAAATTCTACGTGATTAAAAAAATTCTTATTTTAAGTTTGCATCAAAGTACAGATTAATATAAATAAAAAAAATTTTTTTAATGTAATAAAAATAAAATAAAATATAAGATTTCTTTAAATTTTAAATTAAATATCAAATTTAGAATTATTAAGAAAAGAAAAAAGGAAGAAATTCGAAGATATAACTAGTAATTTTTCTACTTTGCAGGCGTACATTATTGCATCTTTATTTCCTACTTCTCTTTGACACAGGAAACATTCTCTTTTCCCCTTCGTTAGACATAGGTATGTAACAGGAAATATAAGCAAATATTTTTAATGCGTTATATTATCAATAATTTGCTGTAATTATATCGGTTTTTGATTACTTTTTGTGAAAGGAGTAATCTTCTATTTAAGAAAGTAGAAGAAACTGTGAAAGGATATTTTCGATTGTCACGGTTGGACTGTTGTCGAAATAAGACGTAAAATACGAGTACTACATCTCTCAGAAAGAAAAACAAGTAATATGTAATTATTTTTCGTTATAGATTTAATTAATTTTAGATCGCGTAATTACAATATTTAAATTAATTTAAAATTAAAAGTTTTATTAAATTAAATTTTTTGAATATTTAATAAATAAAATTAAATGTGTATTGCAGTTATAATTTTTTTTAAATTTATATATATCAGCTAATATTTTATTCAATGCTATTTAAAATTTTGAACAAACATACACGTAAAGAATTTCCTGTTACATGCATTTGAAAATTATATAAATATATTTGACGTGATTATCTTAATAATTCATATAATGCGTTGTAAGGAGCAAATTACAAGTATTGAAGGATGATTACATGATTCGTTTATCTTAAGCAGTGAAGAGTTATGAGCAGCAGCACGCATATAATTATTGTTTGATAAAGCCGTACAAAACAGCAGCTAAAGTATCGATGAAATCATGCTTTCAGCAGCGTAATTAATTCTTCAGCGAAATAATGCATTGAAATTGATTCCTTTAATACGATGAATTTAGATCACGCATACGTAAACTTGTGGAATCCGTTTTATCACTTATAAAAACCGGTACCTATAATCATTCACTGTCAGTGATTACTGTTATTAATCGGAAATGGCGACGCTTGTAGAATTACTTTATGCAATCATATTACGCACGTGGACATGAAATCATGTCTGCAGTCAAAGGATAAATAAAAAGCAGCAGTAATGTGGTTTTATTTAAAGTAGAGCAAAGAACAGAAAATTAGAATTGATAAGAAAATTTGAAATAAAAGAAACTGATTCGATAGTAATAGATTTCTTAATTAGCAGTAAAAGATTAATTGCGGATTTTTGTAACAAAATAATTTGTTTGTACGTTTTGGTTATTTAAACAAAAATGAATAAAACACTCCTATAGAAAATTACGCACTCGAGTTATGCCAAGGCTGTACTATTTTTGTGTGAAGCCAGTAACTACTTGTGAAATTGCAAAGGGAGTGACACGACTGTAGCTTTCTACATGCCATTCGCACTAAATCCAACCTGGTTATGCCTATAATAAATCTATTTAACATAGGCGTAGATCCATGGAAGAGCTATGCACATATATGTATAAATTCAGTCTTGAATGTAATAAATAATATATAGTGTATAAGTAAAATACTTTTATATTTTAATTAATTAAATTTTAAAAGCTGCAGCTTAATTACTAACATAACAAATAGATATACTATATAAAATTATATATTAAAGCATCAAATGTATTATTATTATATTAAAAGTTTCCAATATATATATATCGTATAATAAAAGTTTACAAAAAAATTTTTAATAGAAAAGTTTTTATTAGAAATTTGATTTGATTTTCTTTTGCGGCAGCTATTCGCTTAATGCAGAAATGATTTTGACAAATTTTAAATTATTATATCAATTAAAAGTATGTTTTACAAGTAGACAATACTAATGACTACTTGCTAATATACTATTAAGGCTCAAAGTTGACATTTCAGCGGCGAGATAAATTTAGCGTTTACAAAATTATAGTGCACCGAAATTAGCCACTGTTATGAAATATTTTCAAATAGTTTGCATAACCAGTTCGGATTATTAATACAACTTTCTCGTAATTTATTTTAAGAAATAAAATATTTGAAAAATATTGTTGACGTTGACAAACACATGACGTATAGTCATATTAATATAGCCCATTTAGTATGCTAATCAGAGGTGCTTGATTTGTTTAAGTATTAGTAATATTTAAGTATTAGTATTAGTAACACAATTTAAAAACTAGATCAAATCTTAATCCAAATCAACTTTCGTGAATTCAACTTGATTGCATAACTTCAAAGCTGTTTTATCGTATCTTATCCGTAATATGTACATCATAATTGATCTTAAATTTTCAAATATATTTCAAAAAACAGTATATGATTAATGCAATGCTTATAACGATATCTATTATTAGGTCTTTTGTATAGGGTTTATCAAATTTCGTTTTTTTTTTCACTTTACGCAACGCCTATATACGCATACATAATGTGTAACGTAATAGATTAGATCATGTATTTCCTATATAGCTTTGTATATAAAATATTTTACAACGCGCAAAGAATACTCTAATGTGCAACATATATATGTATAATAAGAAATTTTGATAAAAATCATTCATTGCTTTATAAATATCTACTTTATGATTTAATATAAAATTTAATACAAATTATCTATTTTACGATTTAACATATATTTTACTTTTATTAAGAAAGTTTTATGAATGAAGAATGAAGAAAAGTTTTATTGCAAATACAATTTTAAATCATAATTAAAATAAAAGTGTTTAAACAATTAATTAATTAAATTTATTGCTAAATTATCTTCTGTTGAATTGAATTAATAATTAAACTATTTCAAAAACCGGCATATGATCAATACACTTATAACAGTAACGCCAATAACTTCGTATTTTAACGTTATTATTCTGTTTCATAGCGAATAAAAATTGATAATGATTTCATGCTGTTTACTATCTCATTCTGAATCAAATCTAACAATAAGTCAAGATAAAGATCACTGATCTCTTAAAGATATAGTCATCAGACAAACGTCTTCTAAGCAGTGATGTTACTTTTGTTACGCATTACGTAATGTGTGAATGATCTAAAGCTGCCTGGACACGTCGATTCGCTAACAAACGATCCGACAGCCCGGGGCAAGGTCGTAGACCTGTCTCGCCACGGGCTGGGATCTTGTGAATGAGCTATTACACGGTGGTTGCGGACCTCATTCGTGGAAAATGTTATCTCTGCACGCATTTCTCTTCCCTGTAAAAACTAACCGATCTTTTCCGTTAATTTACATAGAATTTACTAAGAATTTGTAATTAATATGCGTAAAAGTATCTAAAAGAAGAGCATCTTAATATGCGTATTGAATAGCTGATAATACAAATAATTATATATTTTGTAGATAATTTTTTTATCATAGAATAAGCCAATTTACATAAGAATAGTTTCTCCTTTAAAATAAATGCATTTAAAGTTTGTATTTCTAAATAATCATTATTCATAATCGTTAATTAAAATTGCTTAAAAGTTAATTTTCAAATGTCAATTTACGGAAATCCGAAACCTAGAATAATTACACGGGGGCATTGTTATTATAACAATGATTAAATCGCGGCCGCGTTGTTCGCTTTACGACGGTCTCTAATTAACACGTATCAGGATAATTCGTTTCCTTCCGCAATTTTAATTATGCCGAGGATTATTAGGCAAATGCCAAGAGCGAACCGACCAGACGTAGAAAAATACGTTTTACTTTACGTTCGAACGTAAGGTTCCGGAAATAAGAATGTAGAAAGTTGAGTAAGAATAGTTGGAATTTATATCTTTGTTTTCGCATCGAATCAATAGAAAAAAAAACTCTCTTTCATTCTCCTTTTTGTAATTTCAACGTAAGTCTGAAATTGATATGAGAATGCGTCGAATGCTTCGACATGAAAGTTCAGCACGATCGTCAGCACAAAAATTTGCCAGCATATAAATTCCAGAATGATAAAATATTGCACTGCAAAAAGATATAATCCATGGTACAAAATGTATAAAAAAAATTCCGGATACTCTATTTTCTATCATCGCTTTATTATAAACTTGTATGTTCACGTTAAAAAAAATGTTTATGACATCGCTTTCGAATTCCTCATAGCGTTTAAAATCTTGCTAAGGTCTAACGATATGATCTCACTGATCCAGAATGAGACACTTTCAACCACTCCCGACTTCGCGCGTGTCATCGACGAAAATAAAGAAACTGTCCCTCCGCCGCAAAGTATCCCGGGCCATTTTTCCTACGAGTCCATTCTCGCGATTCTTCAGTCACACAGCGCTGCGTAAGATAGCACAGGCACATCGTACTTACGATTCTCATCTCTCTTTCTCTTTGGGTCTCCCCGAAACTGCCGCGAGTCGGAACGAGCGCGTTTTCTCCGCGTTCCCGTGAGCCGTGCACAAGTCGGCCGCCAACTGCAGTTGCACTCTCGTTTAAGCGGCGAGTCTAGGAGCAGCGCACGGTGGTGTGCCACCTGTCTCGCGGGGGTACGTTCTCGGCGCGGGGTCCGCGCGGATGGTAGGGGGCACCGGAAGAAACGCCTACTGTGCGAATCGTCCAGAGCGGAGTAGGCTCCCCGAGGTGTGACGGTGGATCCTAGGTGTCGAGAGACTCGCAGCTGCTGCCGGTCTTAGCGTAGAGGGCCGTTTGACTTCGGGTGGGGACCGATCCTGGGACTTATATGTCGCGGTTGGAGGCCATCCGCGAGCCTGACTCCCTGTTTCCCCCCTCCCCCTCTCCCCCCTCGTGCGCCCTCGCCCGAATCCATTATCCTCCCAAGGGGCGCGAGTGATGGTCAAGGTGACCTTCGGTCCTCACGCGGGGATACCGCGGACAGGAAGCGAGCGAGAGCAGCTCCGCGAGAAAGGTGACCGCAACCGTCTCGCGGACGGATGATCGATTCGACATCTCGTTTCTGAGTCACGACGAGGAAGAAGGAAGGATGCCTCCGAGCGACGGCGAAAGTGTTCTTTCATATATCAATACGTGAAACGTGCTTTTCAAATTTGTGCCGATTAAGAGGTTTCTCGTGTACAGCGTTTAGCAACGCAACGTGGACGAACGGCGCGATAAAATTAAAAAAGAAAAAAACTAATAATAATTTTGTGATAAAAATTAGATTGCATTTGTGAAAGAATTATCTGATAATGTCTTCTGCAATCTACAATAAATGAAGGAGGAAGTAAGAATGCAAATTGTGATTAATCTCAGTCGAGTCATAATTCTTTTTTCTTGCGACAAAAAAATCTCTCTCTCTCTCTGTCGTCGCTCGCGATCATACAGATGGCTAATTATCCGGCAATAATCTTCTGTGGCAAAATAATGTATGCGATTATTTAATGTATGTGCTAGACGTTACGTCTCAATGCCTATCACATCATGCTCCCAATTGGAATCCGGATCTCTATTCCGTGAGTGCTGCACTATTATGACGTCAACAGCTGCTGCGAAACAATGTCTAGCATGCAAATCTCATTTCGAACAATCAAACGCCTTTTCCACGCCCAAATATTGAAAGCAATTAATTGAAAGCCCATTGCACTGTCAAAAAGTTTTTGTTTCTAGATTATAACTTTCTATGTCTAATGATATTTATATCGATAGTTCCGAAATTTTGTGCAAATACATTTTTATGTATAACAAAATTCTTGGTTCAAGCAAACTGGTTCACATTACTTCTCCGATCCAAATAACAGCCAGGATGTAGGAATCGCACATGTATGATTGCTTGTTAACATTTATAGCGCTTAATCGAGCGATCGGATAATCATTATTGTAATACCGTATTTAATTCCCGTATAATTGGCTGCTTACGATAATATACTCGCAGTAATATATTCTTAGGATATCTCGTGACTTCCGACATAGAAAAAATACCCGTCAAACGTATGTATGTCATCTGTGTGCACAATAATTGCGGTATAGGGTAATCGACTATACATCCGCGAACGCATTATTAGAAAGGAAAAATTAATTTTATCCTTTACGTAATTCCCTGATTGTCTTCGGAAAAAGATGTGTTTTTGCATGACATACTTTTGAACAATATTTAATGGCAGCGACAATGCGAAAAACGCATTATCCGGCATAGCCTTGTTAGCTTAATTGTATTAAAATAAAAGAACTATTAAAAAAAACTTTTAATTTACCACTTAACTTTTTCTATTAGAGTAAAATAAGTATTAGCTATTACATTTTAATGTTCCTTTATAATATCGCTTTCAGAAAACGTGGATTAAAATTTTTTTCTCTCTCGTATCTTGAGACCGTTTAAAAGAGAACGCGAACCATAAAACAGGCAAACCAGCGAGAACATGATCGGACTATAATAATTACTATCTCGAACGGAACGACGTATACAACATGCGAGACGTTTTACGATTAACTTTGCCAAGCTATCAACGTCAAAATAGCCTGCGATTTAATTACCGCTGCTATAAACTGTATCTAAACGATTGATCATAGTTGCACTGCGGCAATCGTTTCGAGCAGCAATCACCGTTGTTACAGTCTCGCCCGTGTGAGAAAGTGCTCGCAGCGCAGCATCAACGTGACTCCCGTCGCGTGCCCGGCCGCGGGGGGTTTCTTGACCTTCGTTAAAAATGGAATTCCCAACCTTAACCCGCTAATTAGCGTTTAGCTTTTAGCCGCGACATCGCGCAAGGAGAGACGAGCGGAATGCTCTTCCGATATCGAGCTCGCATCTGGTCAGCGCGAGCCGAGGGAAGGCTGGACCTTGCACGATTGCCTGCGACCTCAGTCGCCTAAATTCGGTTTAATTAACGAGGTCACTCGCCCGAGAAACATTTCGCTTTCGCGCGTGTCGGCACGCGCTACCCGCCACGTTCCCTCTGTCTTCCTCTCTTTCTGTAAACGCGACAAGTATCTCCGGTATTTCGAGGAGAAATTTACGGCGATCCGTCACGCGCCGATTAATCTGCCCGCGAGTTAAGATTTATCTGCTTCGGCGCTCACGCACGGCTCCGTATTTGCTTACAATAACACTTGACAACGTGGGAACGCAAAAATAGATGACAACAAAACGTGTCGCTGTATCAGCAATAATACAGATTCTTCAATATTTGACGATTAACGCTGGCAAAATATCACTGAACATAACAATTATTCGTTTTACTTGAAGCTGACCTTCGATGCATTTTCGAATTCGCGATTTCGATCTGCTTTCTGACGGTCGATCAAGCGAATTAATTTGGACCGAAGGGAAAATCTCGATTAACCGATCGAGGACGTGCCAATTACCGTGAAGCATTGTCGCAAAATTGTATAATCAATTGCGGGAACGGTAATGATACTTATGAAAGTATAACAAGGTCGTTAGTCATGGAGCAGAACGTAGATGGAAGAGGTAATAAAAGAAATAAAGCAAAATGCAATGCAGGATGCTACCTTTGGAAGACGTTGCGGCATTGAGCAGCCCATTAATTTGATTGAATCTAATGAAGCGAACGCTGACAAACAATGTCCCGCGGAAGCTAATCAGTATTCATAGCTTTGGAGCCTGAAATAGTTTTCAGGGTAATGAGCAATAATTTTTCTTACTACTGGTCCTTGTTAGTCTCGAATGAATGATAAATAATCTGACGCATGTAACATAAACGATTGCAAAAGTCCAGATATCATCTACATAATTTTACTTGTAGATTGTGGTTGATCATACTCAACTCTATTTTATGATCCAACACGCGGAAGTAGAAGCGTCACCGGCAATTTAACGTTATTACAGGAAAAAGATTAATTATTGATAATTACCATAAGAATTATCTCTTGCAGCGGCATTTTACATATATCATTTGTCCTATTTTTTTAAATTCTTGACATAAATCACCATAATAATTAAAATGTGAATTAAATTGCTGCCAATTCTGAGGTAATAAAGAAATCAAATCTTTTCTACATATTCATTGATACTTCTTTGAAGTTATAAGAATAAATATAAATGTAAGGAAAATGTTATTCTGTAGCTTAACAGGATCTTACCGTTTTTATTATATAACTCACGTCTGTATTGATGTTCAAACTAGCATACATATTTTATATTTATGAAAGAATGTCTATATCCTTGCTATCAAAACCTATATTTTTCTCATCATGGTCATGATGATCGTACACGTGTAAGTTTGTCCTTTTTTTTTTTGATATTTTTATATTATTACGCTATGCGCCAACCACTAATTTATTCGTGCTCTTGCAGCTATGCATAATATACGCATGAATATAAATATTACTGCTGCGTAATGACGCGGAAATATGTAGTTAACTCTCGAGATACGGAGGTGACTCGAAACGTTTCGATGATAGATAAGCGCGCCGATCGCGAAAGTAGCTCCTAAGAATACAAGATACAACCAATTCGAAAGGATCCACTAACAAGTTCGCTCATCGAAGGTAACGGCGCGACCTCATGAAAGGTGCATTCGTACTGCTAATTATCTTCGGCGCGCAGCACCGCCTTACGAGAACAAACTCGGCAATTTACGGACGCGTCACGCGCGTTGAACGTCCATGAGCTAATTTCATTTTTAACGGAAGCTTGAAGAATACTCCCTTCCGGCGATATATCACGAAGATGAAACAATTATCCGCGATTATCCCCCAATTTTTGAAAGCGATACAGTAAGAACAGCGAATGCTCTGATTGCGCGTGAAACATAATAAAGTCAATTAAAAAAATTTAATTGCGAAAACTGATATCTTGTACGATATATAAAAACCTTGGATAATTGCGAGATATAAAATTATTAATTTAATAGAACGTATCGAGGTTAACATGATATCGAAATAACACACAAAAAATAGGATATCAAAATACCATTTAAATGATGAGAATTTTTTTCGATCCAATAATTTTCTAGACAATAATTTTATATATACCAAAAATGATTTAATAAAAGTAATAAAAATAACAATTTAATCAAAATAACATTTAATATGATCTTATGTAATATAACATAAAATATTAATTAAGTCAAAAATATTGAAGTAATACTTTCGGATGCATATAACACATGCATCAAAAATGTAAAATTTTACGTTATGACAAATCATGAAATAATCATGTTTCATCGCAAAATCACATACCGTCAAGCATTTTAGATTTCTTCCTTTTATCGCTTCCGGTTAGCGGTGAACGTTCCGATAAATCACACCACGACAATTCCGGCGTATCAAGGACTGCAACGAGTGCGTGCCCGGTTCACGGTCGGTCGGATTTCGATCATTTTAAGTCTCCGTGTCTCGAAATTTAACTAAACTACCTTATGTAACGAAAATAATAAAAATTGTGCAAATAAGATTCTCTCAAATACAATAATATTTTTATTGGAATTATATTGAATCATAAATTCTCAATTTTGATTTCTTAAACGATGTCTCGATGTTTAAGACTAATTAAATCATCTTATATAACAAAAATAATTAAAATCATATAAAAAAGTTTCTTTTTCGTCCTCGTCTCCTATATTTTTAAAAGGTAAAAGCGAAATTATCAGTTCTAAGTTCGAACAGGTTGACAAGCAAGCAATTTGCCAATTGCATGAATTATAAATTGTTAAATTAAATATTATTGACATCATAAGTAGTTTAGAAACTGATGACGCTTTTGCGTCAGAAATC